CCATCTTTAGTTGTTCTAATTTCAATTATTTTCTTGATATGTGACATAATTCGTCTACTTTAAGAAACTTGGTGAATGTTCTTTTAATTTCCTTAAGTGTGGAATGTTATTACAAATGCAACCTTTCCTAACCTGAGACCCAACTTCTTGGCGGACAACTAAAGAGACTTCTTTTTCGGGTTTCTTTAGTTGTCTCTATGTCCATGCATAAGGAGGTTGCCCTAGCGGCCTGCGATTTCATAAAAAATAGTTGTCAAATTGAAACAACATACAAGTTTTTTGTATACTGCTTTGTATTTAAAACAATGCACATTTTCCCTTCAGTGTTATTACGCTGGGTGTTATTCTAAGAATGACACCATGTCTGTTCCAGTTTCATTGACCTGATCCTGACTAGGGACCAAACTCTTAACCATGTACCCAAATCCCAACTAGGGATCCTGACTCCTAGATCCTTATCATAAGCCCAAGACTTTAGACCCCAGACTGAACTCTTGACTCCTAGCTCTTGGACCCCTAACACGAACATGGGATTCAATTACCAGACCCTTAACTCGAAATTCGACATAGATCCCAACTGGATCCTATGTTGGTGTTAAGGTCAAATCCATATTGTATGTCAAAAATTAGAGCCAACTAGTTCCTTGTACTACAAAGAAGAAACTATCCCTTCCTTACAACAAATAAAGTATTTACATAGATAAAATCCAATATATTCACAATCTTCTTTTGTTTTCCCTCTATAATATTAGGTATTGGAAAGTCCGAGTGGAGTATGGGGTATCTAGTCAAAAGCTCAGGGTTAGGATTAGGGAACCAGAATCCCTACTTGGTATTAGGGTTGGGAGTTGGTACCCTTGTCAAGATCAATTCTAAAGTCAGGTTTCAAGTTGGGGAAGTTTGCATTTATAAATTCATTCCACACTTAACTAGAAATAGGATTGAATAAACTAAAAGAAAATTTCACCAAATGTCTTAAAGTAGATGGATTGTATATCACATATCGAGGAATGAATTGAAATCAAGACAATGGGAAACTAAATTAGGGTTACAAGTATTTTTAGGGTGGTGAGGGTGGGGATGGAACAATAGAGATTCTAGAAATTTTAAATTATGATTTTTAGAATTGAGATAAAACATAAAGCTTGTTAAAAATAAACAAGGAAATGATGGTACATAATATGGAAGAGACTAAAATATACGGTATTAAGGGGAATTTTAGTAGCTAAGTTTGTTGATCACCCATATTTTTGCTTGTTGGTAAGAGTTCGATTCCCCACTTTGTCATCCCCTTTTCAATAATAATAATAATAATGATAATGCTAATAATAATAATAATAAATGGTATTAAAATAAATCATATAACCATGGAAACAAATCACTCAATATTTAAAGAGGAAATAGACGGCGTATGTAACCCCATTTTACTAGTATTTATATAGTTTCATCCATATTTTGCGATATCCTCATCACCTTTCTTTATTGGACCACTTTATGAAAATGATCCTCTCAGATCTTCATATTTTTATCCAAACTTTATAGTTAATGGATAAAGGAGAAAAACGAAAGTGAAAAAGTGGTTCGAAAATGAAAAGAATATATTGATTCACATACGAAATAATAGAGCTTGAAAAAGGTTATTAAGGTTTGTATATGAAAGAGAGACAAAGAGGAGAGTTGTGGGCGATTGAAGGAAATAGAAATTCATTAGCGTTTAAAAAATAGTTGTGAAAATTAAATAAATAGTGAAGGGGAGAAGTGTGGGTCGTCCAGTTGAATTGAATGAAAACCGGAGATTAAAGGATCAAATGGGATGTGGCCAAACAAAACAACCCAGAACCCAACCCATTTGATATTTTTAATCTCCGTTGTTTTTTCAATTTAACCAGAGGACACACACATCTTCCTTTCACTATTTATTTAATCCTAATAAAACTATTTTTTAAACCCTAATCCATTTCTAATTTCTTTGATCGCCCCCAACTCTGCATTTTCTTTCCCAGTCATCGTTCAAACCCTAACAACCTTCTTCAAACTCTCATAATTTTGTGTGTGAATCAGTGTATTCTTTCCATTTTTGAACCATTTTTTCACTTCTTTTTTCCCATTTATTCATTTACTATAATGCTTATAAATAAATATGAAGATTTGAGAGGACTTTTCATCATAAATTGATACAAGAAAGGAAAAGAGATGAAGAGATAGGGAAACTTGTATGAAACTATGCAACTACTACTAAAGTGGGGTAACACCATTTATTTCCTCTCTGAATGTTGATTGATATTTTTCATGTTTTTATGATTTATTTTAATATCACTTTTTAAATTATAATTGAAAAAGGAAACGATTGAGGTGATTACAATGTGGAGAATCGAACTCCCACCAATAAGACAAAAATTTAATATAGTCAATCAACTGAGCTACTAAAATACTTCTTAATACCGTCTATTTTAGTCTCTTCCATATTATGTGCCCTCATTTCCTTGTTTATTTTGATTTTTGAACATACTCTATGTTAATATCAACCTCAACTAGCATCTCTTGATTTAAAAAAAAAATCAAAGTCATTTCTTCATCATGTTTTTTATTGATCTCATTTATATCTCGTTTATATAGTCTATTCACATTTATACAATCCATTTTCCATCTTTAGAACTAAAGTTGTTCACTTGAAGAAAATGCATCCCCTACTTTCTCATCTAAAGGAAAAGCCACTATTTGCCTGGGCTCCTCTGCTCCTCCTCTATCTGTGTGTTGTTTTGTAGCTCTGTTAGGTTGTCGGCGTGGTCTTGTGATGGTTATATCTCAAAATAGAAATGGTTAAATAATGTATATCTTACCAAATGTGAATACTTAAATCTATAAAAGAAATTGAACTACTAGCTCATTACAAATTATTTTTAGTTTGTAGATTGAATAAATTAGATTTTATTTCATTTATTCGATGTTGAATTAATCCCTTATTCTTAGTAAGAAATATTTTTGGATCTAAGAAAAAAATTAAGTTTAAAAGACAAATTATTAGTTATTTTTTCTATTAAATCTGATACAACTACTAAAACAAGAATGATCTTTAAAACGTGAATCTTTTAAATAAAATAGAGTATTTGTAAGAGATAGTCCATTCAAATAATACAGAAGAAATGAACAGTACATCACTAAATAAAAGAGAAGAAAGAACGTACAACATGTTGACTTAATTTCAATTCCGAAGAATTGTTGAAAAAGATTCGTGCTTGAATTGAATTCCATCATCGCCATTGTCATCAAAGTCCTCTTCAGTGTTTTGAATGTCTTTCATCAAAGCCGCAATAGGTTGAGTTGTGTGATTGAATGGGAGGGATTGTTGAAGCGTTATATTTATAAGAGCGACAAGCGACTAGGGTTTTCTAAAACTTAGTTCAAACTTTTTAAAACTTAATTTTCTCACAAAAAACTTAGTTATCAATTTTTAACCCTTCATTATATATCTAGAAATAATAACATCCAGTAAATTTTAGAAAGTTAGGTTTTAAAATTTTAGTCGATTTATAAATATTGGCTAAAATTGCCACCTCTAATTGTGAGAAAATTAGGTTTTAAAAAGTTTGAACTAAGTTTTAGAAAACCCTAGTCGCTTGTCACTTTTATAAATATAACACTTCAACAATCCCTCTCATTCAATCACACAACTCAACCTATTGCGGCTTAGATGAAAGACATTCAAAACACTGAAGAGGACGTTGATGACAATGGTGATGATGGAATTCAATTCAAGTACGAATCCTTTTCAACAATTCTTCAGAATTGAAAATAAGTCAACATGTTATAAGTTCTTTCTTCTCTTTTATTTAGTGATGTACTGTTCATTTCTTCTGTATTACTTTAATGGACTATCTCTTACAAATACTCTATTTTATTTAAAAGATTCATGTTTTTAAAGATTCATTTTCTTGTTTTAGTAGTTGTATCAGATTTAATAGAAAAAATAACTAATAATTTGTCTTTTAAACTTAATTTTTTTCTTAGATCCAAAAATTTCTTACTAAGAATAAGGGATTAATTCAACATCGAATAAATGAAATAAAATCTAATTTTTTCAATCTACAAACTAAAAATAATTTGTAATGAGCTAGTGGAACAATTTATTTTTATAGATTTAAGTATTCACATTTGATAGATATACATTATTTAACCATTTCTTTTTTGAGATATAACAATAGTTGTTGGAAAAGTGGGTTGGTCTGCTCGCACTCTAAACTCTCTTTCTTACGTGAGACAGAAAGTGTAACTATCCAAGCTCTTTCAACTTGTCCTCACTTTGGATAAGTATAGTGGTTAAATCCGTTAGTAAGATGAGAGTCGTAAAATTGAAACGAGAACTATCAAGTGGTTATTGAATGCATCTTCAAGGAATTGATTGCTTCTTCATGAAAAACTTGGAGGATTTTTTCAGAAGGATAGAGTCATTGTATTCTCGAGTACTGATTCTCTTTTAGGAAGGTATTCTATTGAATGAAGGTTGGATGTACATACATGTTGTTGTGTTATTTGCAAGTTTTCTTCTTTGAGCATATTAATTCTAACAAATATACATATACAATTCGCCTCTCTCCACTCTCACTCGCCTCTTTCCTTCCTCTCCCAAACTCGCTCGCCTCTTTCCTCCCTCTAACAGGTAACTACGAATCGTAATTAGCAAACTATAGCTATGAAGGCTAATTAAGTTTATTTTAATGACTATTTGCGAAATTTCCTCAAAATTTAATTGTCAATTAATTATTGACACTAAAATTAAAAATCATAAGCAATAAAGTGATTGCTATTAAATAATTGTAAATGTCCAATATATGTCTAAATAGGATTTGTATATATAGTCAAAACAATATTTGGACAGGTTTATAAATAAACTTGCTGCGACTGGTAGGAAATATTAATATCTCGATAGGACATATAAACATATAGTAATAAACAAAATAATTTATATTTTTAGTATATTCATATATTATAGGAAACCAAAATTGTACGTATTTATGTATAAATAGGATTTCTATAATAAAAACAATATTGTAAGTCAATTTTCATTTAAAGTTGGTTTTGCACTATCATAAATAAAGTTTCTATTGCTTATTATTTGGACAAAGTAATCCGATGGATTCCACCCAAAACGTTCCCCATGATATCATAATCGATATACTCGCACAACTTCCTGTGAAAGCACTTATAAGGTTTAAAGGTGTTTGCAGATCATGGTATTCGTTAATTAAAGACAATAAATTCATCAAACAACACTACGATACTCACAAAAATTGCCAAAAGTACTTTATGACTTGTAGAAGACGCAATATGAAGAACCAATTCAATTACTACCACTACACCATGGACGTCCCTCAACTTGATTCTACTAGTACAATCTCTCTTGTCGAATCTCCGGTTCCAATTGATCGATCGCGAATGGTATTGGGTAACACACAATATTTCTCATGTAATGGAATACTTCTTATAATTACATATGCTAATGATATCGTGTTGTGGAACCCAGCCACTAAAGAATCAAGAAGAATCCCTTGTCCAATTCGGAGTAAGAGTGGTGGTCTTTATAATTTTTGCTACTTTCCGAGTATTGACAGCTACAAAATATTTAGACTAGGACGTGAAGTTTTTAATGATGACAAAAATGACATGGATATTGATATATTTTCAACGAAAGGTAACTCGTGGAAATCTGTTGGCATGTTTCCTTCAAATTATGATTTCTTAGATAGTAGCATTGTTATGTCAGATGGGATTGTTTATATGATGGCGAAGAGAATTGGAAATTTAGTCAGTAGTACAATATTACGTTTTTGTTTGGAGAAAGAACAATTTGAAGAGGAATTGCTATGTGTGGACACGATACCAGGGAGAATACGTATTTTGTATTCTGTAGGAGAAAAACTTTGTTTGATTAGTTCATCTGGAGATAATAATGAGGTTCGTGAGATTTGGTTGTATATGATGACAACAAATTCATGGAGTAAGATATTGACAATTCCGTTAACTTTGAGACCTTTGAGTTTTATGGAGGATGGAGGCATGATGTTTCAAAAGTTCAATAGATCTGGGTTCGTGTTCGAGGCTTACAATTCAACAACACACAAATTTGAACAAGTTAATGTAACTGAAATTGAAGGACTTAACTTATTCAATAGGGTTGTAACCTACGTTGAAACTTTATCCTCTCCTAATTCGTAAAGGTAATTAGACAAGACCAGATACACCTGCAGGCGGACATTCACGGGAGAAAGCTGTTTATATAGTCTGTTCATATATCCCCTGCTTTCAGATTCCTTTTTTTTTCCATCAAAGTCATTTCTTCATAATGTTTCTTATTGAACTCATTTAATTCATTTATCTCTTGTTCTAGCTTATTTATGCATAAGACAAACCAACAACAACAATGTATCGTAACAATAACATAACTCTAGATAAGAAGATATGGAAGGTGAAGATTAAGATAGAATGTTAGTAAGTAGTTGAGTATTGTCTAGTACCCCTATTAGTATTGTTATTATTACTTCTCACTCGATCGACCTGTTAACGACCAATTGCTAACGAACTCAAAGGTGCAAATAGTCTGGAAACTAGAATGCACAAATCATGATAATTGAAGAATTAGATGTGAAGTTTTTTTTTTTTGTTTTTTATTGGTAAACAGAATTATATTAATTGAATGAGTACATAGTAATTGCAGGACAGAACACGCTAGTAAGTAGTGTTCAGTCGGAGGGGTATTAATACAGTAACTATTACAATTACCCGATGTAGTGGTCTAGTTAGCGGACTAAAAAGAGTTCCTACTTCCAATTGCCTTGCCACAAACAAAGGTGGAACTGTCCAATGCACAAAATAGTTAGCTTCCGACATCCTAGACCCCTGCTTTGCTAGCGTGTCTGCCACTTGATTTGCGAGTAATTCCTTGCAATCAGACAACATATTAGTATAAATGGGTGATCATTGTGGAGAAAATGGACGAGTTCTTCGCAGAACACATTGAGTTGTAGAAGCGTCAGCTTGTTCCTCAAGGCAATCTTTAATCGTGTAGTAAGGCGTACAATTCTGCCTTGATAGATGTGGTCTCAAATATGTTCCCCATAAAACCTGTTTTCCAGTACCATTCTTGTCCCTAATTACTCCTATGCCACCATTTCCGAGAGTTGTTATTGCGGAGCGATCACAATTTAGGGTGTGTTTGGTATGAAGGAAAATGTTTTCCTAGAAAATGTTTTCCTGGAAAACAAGTTGATTTTTGACTTATTTTCTCATGTTTGGTTGGTGAGTAGAAAATATTTTCCGAAAAAGATTTTTAGTGTTTGATTTATGAATGAAAAAATATTTTTGAGAAATATCTTTTATTTTTACTAGAGTAGAAAATAATTTTTGAAATTGAAAATATTTTTTAAAAACAAACTTAA